ACAGATCTGCGACAATAAGTTTTTTATTAAAAAAATTCTGATTATTCGATTTTTTGATATTTTTTCGTTTTTTCTTTTCTTTTACAGATTGCATTCTATTAAATTTTTATTTATTTTTTTTTAGTTTGTTTATATTATTTGATCACTTTTGTCTTCAATTTTTAAGCGGCACTCAACAATTTATATTTCTTAAATTTGAAAATCCACCTCGACCTCCACCGCGATTTGAACTGGTGACCAACGATATTAGAGTCGGACGTCTTCCCACTGAGCTATTTTCGTATTGTACGAGAAGTGAGAATTTGTGCATTTACTTCTCAACAGAGCGCAACTAACACACCGAGAGTTTCAACTGTCCCTCCCTGCATCCGTTTTGCACTAGTTCAGAGATGGTTCTGAAATGTGTAGGGCGGAACTAGCGCTTTAAGAGACTGTCTCTAAATTTTACTGCAGGGTAGGTAAATATATACATTTACAAATGTACATATTTGTATATACACTTTCTTAAACAAAGAAATAAAAACAAATTTATCCAATACTACTTCTGGTTACAACATAGATATCTGCATTTAGCACTCTTAGGTTCGATATTTTTTATCTATTTCATATTTCGCAATACGTTCCTTCATTTCCAGCTCTTTATATTTGAAATCTAATTCTTTTTCGCGGAAATATTTATCATTTTCTGATCTCTTTTCATCTATGTCTAATCTTTTCTTTTCTATGTCAACTGCCTCCTTCTCAACTTTTAATTTTTCACTTTCAAACTCTATTCTTTCCTTTTGAATTGTAGCTAATTGTCCCATAGCAGATCTTGGTCGTGCTTTAGTTTTCCCTGATTGCTTTGGGATTGGCAACGATGGCGAACGTGGTGAAGGAACTTCGGTTTCAACTAACTGTGTAATAGTTGATGACAGTGTTGGAGAAACGGATGCCAATGTCGCTATGGCTGGTGGTGATTCAGTTGATGGTAATTCTATCCATGGTGGTTCTGTTAATAGCAATTCTATACATGGTAGCTCTGTCGATGGTGATTCTGTCACTAGCAGTGGCGCCCGTAGTGCTATGCCTCGTGGTTCAAATATATTTTGGAGACGCCTATAGTGTGGACATATTTTGAGTATTTTGCCTGCAGATCATTGAAAATGGGTTTACCTAATTAACAGCAAATACATATATGAATCAATAAGTATCTATTTTTACCTTCTATGGATTCTTCTCCTTCAAGTACGCCAGCTCCAGTTGAATTCAACGAATCGTTGGCTTTTACGTGAGGCGCACCTTCCAGCGCACCAGCTCAGGGGTAGCCTCTATGAGGGTTTTTTCAATAAATTTTGTATAAAATATTTGTGCAGTTGGAAACTGAAATAAATATAAGAACATCAATATAAGTTTTAAACGAGGTTCTACGAATCTTCAGATTAAAAACATTGCTTACCTCAAACTTGGGCTCCTCTTCAAGAAAGTCCAGGATGAGCTCCACCTCTCGAGCCTGCCACTTTTTTTTTGGCTGTAACCTTACAACCGATCTTTTTCGCGTAATATCGCTCATTTTCTAAAAATTAAAACGATAAATTGTTGCAAAATAGTAAAATGAATTAAAACTACTTTTTATCCAACTTTCTGCTTGTTTACAAATGAAAAAACAGCTGACACATGGTTGCAAAAAGTATGCTACCAAATCATGCAATCAAAATAACACCAGGTTCATAGTAGCATGAGGGTGCAAAGATTGCATAATATTTGAACACATGAAACAACAACAAAAGTATCCAATCATGCTATTTATGCTATCTATGCACCATGCTAGACAGTATGCATCGGATCGAGAATACCCCTAATGTTTTTTTTTTTATATTTGACTGTGTTAAATCCTCTACATTGCTTGCACAGTATACCAGTAGATGGGTTTTTGTTGTTGTGGCTGTTAATTTGGTCCCCATAAACGGCCTAAGGGTTGCGAGCAAGTGTTTTGCCGCATTCAGGGTGCTGTGCAGTAAAATAATGTGGTGAAAAATTTTAACATCGGATAAATGGCGAGAGAAATATTGTTATGAGCTTTATAAGTAAAGTTCTGAACACATTGAAAACGACGAGCTGGGCAACAGCTTCCAAGAAGGGTATACGTCAAACCTTATATATGCATCGTAAACCGTATAAACTTATAATTATGTAAACCTTATAAATGAACTGTCAAAATTTGTGTGGAAACTCGTTTACTCATTTCTGATTAATTTCTCCAGCGACTTCACTGAATAAACTTGATAAACTGAAGCCAATGCAACTCTGTCGCACCTCTAGTTTTCTTGGGCAATAATCTTGATCCGCATAAAAATTTTCCACGCAAATTCAACAACAACGACATGATTCCGATAGAGATCTGGATCAATTTATTATCCGTTCTGTTTGTTTATCTCACTGATAATTTGGGCACACAGTTTGGTAGCCGTGACAAATGAATTCATACATAAACAGACATTCTGCCATTGTTTCTTTTATGTTCTTCTTCTTCTTCTTTTTTGGCGCTGTAACCGCCTAAGCGATTTTGGCCGAGTTCAGCAAAGCACGCCAGTCGTTTCTCCTCTGTGCCAACTGACGCCAATTGGAAACGCCAAGTGAAGCCAAGTCCTTCTCCACCTGATCTTTCCATCGCAGTGGGGGCCTCCCTCTTCCTCTGCTACCACCAGCGGGTTCCGAGTTGAATACTTTCAGAGCTGGAGCGTCGGTGTCCATTCGAACGACATGACCAAGCCAGCGGAGCCGCTGTATTTTAATTCGCTGCACTATGTCCATATCGTTGTAAAGCTCATACAGCTCATCGTTCCATCGTCTGCGGTACTCGCCGTCTCCAACGCGTAAAGGACCGTAAATCTTCCGCAAAATCTTTCTCTCAAACACCCCAAGAGCCGCCTCATCGGATGTTGTCATTGTCCATGCTTCTGCGCCATATACCAGCACGGGCATGATGAGTGACTTATAGAGCGTGGTTTTCGTACGTCGAGAGAGGACTTTACTCCTGAATTGCCTACTCAGTCCAAAGTAGCACTTGTTGGCAAGAGTGATTCTACGTTGGATTTCAACGCTGACATTATTATCGGTGTTAATGCTGGTTCCCAAGTAAACGAAATTCTCTACTTTCTCGAAATTGTAACTGTCAACAGTGACGTGGGTGCCAAGGCGCGAATGTGCTGACTGTTTGTTTGATGACAGGAGATACTTCGTCTTGTCCTCGTTTACCACCAGACCCATTCGCTTTGCTTCCCTATCCAACTTGGAAAAGGCAGAACAGACTTCGCGGTTTTTGTTACCGATGATGTCGATGTCATCGGCATAAGCCAGCAATTGCACGCTCTTGTAGTAAATTGTTCCTGAGCGGTTCAGTTCTGCAGCTCTTATTATCTTCTCCAACATCAGATTAAAGAAGTCACATGAAAGGGAGTCGCCCTGTCTGAAACCCCGTTTTGTGGCGAACGGCTCGGAGAAGTCTTTTCCAATTCTGACGGAGCTGGTGGTATTGCTCAACGTCATTTTACACAGCCGTACGAGTATTGAGGGGATGCCAAATTCAGACATAGCGGCGTATAGGCAACTCCTTTTAGTGCTGTCAAAAGCGGCTTTAAAGTCGACAAATAGGTGGTGAGTGTCGATCCTTTTCTCGCGGGTCTTTTCCAAGATTTGGCGTATTGTGAATACCTGGTCTATGGTGGATTTGCCAGGTCTAAAGCCACACTGATAAGGCCCAATCAGTTCATTGACGGTGGGCTTCAGTCTTTCACACAATACGCTCGATAAGACCTTGTAACCTATGCTTGAAGGCTGATCCCGTGGTAGTTGGCGCGAATGGCGGGGTCACCTTTCTTGTGGATTGGGCAGAGCACACTTAAATTCCAGTCGTCGGGCATGCGTTCATCTGACCATATTCTGCACAAGAGTTGATGCATGCACCTTATCAACTCCTCGCCGCCGTACTTGAATAGCTCAGCTGGCAGGCTGTCAGCTCCAGCGGCTTTGTTGTTTTTCAGCCGCGTTATTGCTATACGTACCTCGTCATAGTCAGGCGGTGGAACGTCGACTCCGTCATCATCGACTGCGGGCTCGGGTTCTTCTTCTCCACAACTTTCGGTGCTGCTGCCATTTAGTAGGGCGGAAAAGTGTTCCCTCCATAATTTAAGTACGCTCTGGACATCAGTTACTAGGTCGCCATTATTGTTCTTACAGGAGTGCGCCCCGGTCTTTAAACCTTCCGTAAGTCGCCTAACTCTCTGGTAAAATTTTCGGGCATTCCTCCTGTCGGCCAGCATTTCAAGCTCTTCGCACTCACGTATTTCTGCCTCTCTCTTCTTGTTGCGGCAAATACGTCTCGCTTCCCTCTTCAGATCCCTATAGCGGTCCCACATAGCGCGCGTTGCGCCCGATCGCAGCGTGGCCGTGTAGGCGGCATCTTTTTTCTCTGC